CAAACAAAAAAAAACGGAGCTCACAACGGTAAGCCAACGTCGCGTTTCCTTGCGTTCTTTCTTTGCTATTGTTTTTAGCTTGTCCAGAGCCCAAGGTGCAACAAAAAACGCCCAGGGCGTCTTTAAGAAGAAGCAGGCGCATTTCCAAACAAACATCGTGACGTCGGATGCCTGGGGAGGGCGGAATGCGGGGCGCGCATGCGCCCATGGCGGCTGTTGATGCGGCCGAAATGACGGAAACGGCGACGTGGAGAGGGGGAGGTCGAGGCGCAGCAGGCGGGAGGCGAGAGGAGGGAGGAGGAGGAGGCAAGTGGGAAGTAGGGGGAGTGAGGCGGCAGGAGGGATGAGCAAATGGGCTGGACCACTTCGTGCGCGGCATCTCGGAGCTCAGAAATGCCAGGATGTCTCCGGCGAAACGGGCCAGACCACATCGCGCTCGGAGCTTAGAGTTGCGAAGATGTGTCAGGCGACGCCAGGGCTCCTGACCTCGACAACAGAAGCGTAATCAAACGATTCGACTGGGTCCGACCCTTCCTCGCTCGAGCGAAACGGACCCAACCACCTCGCGCCCGGCACCTCGGAGCTCAGAGTTTCGAGGATGTCTCAGGGGAAATCGGCCCGGCTCCCTCTGACAGGGCATCTCATCTCAGAGCCCAGAGATGTGAGGATGCCTCAGGCGGAACGGGCGCCGGGCAACCTCTCGAGCGGCATCTCGGAGCTCAGAGATGCGAGGTTGTCTCAGGCGGAGCGCGCTGGACTGCCTCGCGCGCGGCACCTCGCAGCTCAGAATCGGCCGGACGTCTCGAGCGAAACGGGCGCCGGACCACCTCTCGCGCGGCATCTCGGAGCCCAGAGTTGCGAGGATGTCTCAGGCCGCCTGAGTCAGGCGAAACGCGAGACATCCTCACGCGCGGCAGCTCTGTGCTCAGAGTTGCAAGGTTGTCTCAGGCGAAGCGCGCCGGACCACAACGCTCGCGGCACCTCGGATCGCAGAGTTGCGAGGATGTTGCAGGGGAGATGCGCCTGCCACCTCTCGCGCAGCAGCTCGGAGCGCAGAGTTGTGAGGATGTCTCAATGGAAATGGCCCAGACCACCAAAGGCTCTTGAGGATGTCTCTGGTGTTCTGGTAGGCATTTATACCTGGGTTCCACCATTTGGCAGAAAGGTCGGGGAGGCGGGGACCGAGTCTGGGCTGGTGCTTAGTCGATATGCTTTTTCCAGTCGCGTAGGGAGGGATTCCGACGGCTCTCCAAAAGCAGCCGCCAAGAGCAGCCAAGATCTGGTCGATGTGGTGGGAGGGGGGGGCAGGATCAATCAGCATCGAATCGGGCACTTTGATCGACTCAAACTGTGCAACGGATCGGCCCACATAGGCGCGGAGTCGAAATCGAATCGGATCGGCTGCACAAGGATGCACAGCAACGCCATCCATCCATCCTCCTACTGGACGCTGGACGCTGTCAGCATGGGTATCCTCCGTGGATGCTACAGCCGCTCCTCTTCCTCCTCCACCTCAAGGCTTGGAGTTGAGTCGGGTCGGCCAACCCTCAGCCGTCTTCTCTAGGGATGAGTGCTGGTCCTTCTCCTGCTCCTGCTCCTGCTCCTCCTGCTCCTCCTGCACCTCCTCCTCCTCCTCCTCCTCCACCCCCTCCTCGTCCTTCTTGTTCTCCTGCTCCTCCTCCTCCTCATCCTCCCCCCAGGAGCCCGCAAGTAGGCAGACCATCCGCGCCGACTTTGTTGGAGGCACTAGCCAATTGTCTGTCTGGCAGCGGCGGCGAACTGGGGATGACGACTCAGAAAACTCAAGTGGGAACGATAAAACATTATTGTCTGCCGCTGGGGAACAGTTTAGAGGGTACGATCAAAACATCTCAATGACGGCGATGCATACGAGCAGGGCCGCGACCGAATTTCTCAATCATCACCCAGGGCGCTGCTGGGTGACGGCCCCCCAGGACAATTCTAAATCGTCATCCTACACCTGTGATTGAGACGACATCGACAATGTTATGATGCGATTGGCTCAGGATGCGTTCCAAGATTTCTTGGGAACCCCCTATACTGGCGGCCCCATCTCTAGAGCCCGGGCGGATCAGCAGAACGACCTGGACCTGGAAGTCTGGGAGCGCTCCACTGTCATCGGACGAATGCCCGTTGAGACAAGTGCGGCTCTCCCGCTCCCGCCTGGCCCTAATCTGAAAAATTGGGTCCCTGGATTCTTTCCGCAGTCCACCCTGGCCCGTTTTCGAAGCGGACCCAGCCTTGGCGACGAGACACCTCCATGAAGCCCAGAAGGGAGGGAAGACGGAATGGAGAGCCACCCGCCGTTCCCCTGAGGTCGAACGACGCAGAACAAACATACAGCATCGTGAAGAACCACGACTGGAGTCCTAGGCCACAACTTTCTGGGGCATCTTTCGAGCCGGATCAATCTATGAGGGCCTCGGGGACCAATCGCCCAGCGCGACGACCCAAGGGACATCCCCCGATGTGACTGTGTCAATCCGCGTCCATGGAACGATCCGACCACTTCCCAGAGAGTAGCTTTGCAGCCCGGATCCACTGTTGGTAGGCCAGGGGCCCGAAAGCCCCCAAGGGGCCAAAATGAAAGAAAAAACAGCAGTTGAAAAGCATACCATAATCGAAGATCAGGGCCAAGATCTCAGGGTCCGAGGCGGCGGCCGAGCCTGTGCAGGCCCCGAGGGGATGATAGGAAACTTTTCAGGAAGGGTGGAACATCGACCTGGAGTCGGCGATACATCGACAACAGATCGGCGATAGGCCCCCGATAGCGGTATAACGCACGTTCCAGGACGGGGTGGACTCTCAGGCCCCTATCGGCAATGAGTGAGCGATCGGGGGCCGATGCTTTCCCCCCCGAACCTTTCCCCCCTCCTGACGTTGAGAGCAAACAGATACCGATACAGCTACTCCCTGGACCTCTCCTGGGCGCGTTATGGCCAGGATCCCGAGGAACACCCAGCCGTGGTTGTATCAGCACGCTGCCCTGGCGGGCGTTCGGGACGTTGCGGGCATCCCCAGAACGCTCTCGGCAAGGAGCAGCCGCTGGAGAGCACCCCCAAGCTGACAGGCCGCTGAAAGCCAACGAAAACTCCCGAAAACCGAAAACCTCGAACCTCGAACCGGAACGTCTCCACTGAGCCTATCACCCGCCCTGACCCGGGCCCCCGACATGCTTTTTCACTACGTGGACTCACAAAGGTCTCGACCACTTCCTCGGAACCGATGTTGCAACATGACTCGTTTTTGACGGTCCGGAGGCCCAGAGAGGGCCCGAACACGAAGAGAAACAACTCCGCATTCAATTGTTCAATGCGTTGGAGGCCTGCCCCCCCCCTTAACATTGCGCCTCAGCAGGGGGTGTCGTCTGACAGCGGGTTTTTCCAAGATGCGATTGGCTTGGGATGATTAAGTGTAAGGAATTCCAAGTTATAGACCGGCACAAGTTTCTGCAGCAAGTTGAGCATCTTGTTCATATAAATTTAACAACTGTGAATTGGCCAATTCTCTCATGGCGTTGAACGGTCTCAAGGAAGGTCAGAAGAGATATTACGGATGCAATCGCCCGTGCAGTCGGGGCCCAGGACCCTCAGCAAAGCCGGCCACGCAAATGGCCAACACCGAGGGTGCCGAATCTCTTCAGTTTAGGCCAAACTCTTCATTGGAAGCTTTGGCGGAATCGCTCCCTTCTTCACGACATCACAGCCACTGATGTCAGTTAATCACGGGCACCCCGAGAGAGCCTATCTTGATGTCTTGCTTCTCTGCCTTGGGGAAACAAACCAAGAGTTCTCGATTCCGCTGCTCCCTCGATCTTTCCATGGGTGCGCTCTGAACAAAATTTCGAGGCGAATCCAGCCGTGGCGACGAGGGTCTCCAAGGAGGCCCAAAAAGGGGAGAACGAGGCAAGGGCAGCGGTATGTGTAAACCTTGTTCCTCATTTGCATGACGTTTGGCTCCTCTGACCTATCCCCCCCTGAAGCTGGAAGGGAAGAACACGGGGACCATGACCAAGACTGAACGCGGACTTGTTCTGTCGATCTTCGTCACCGCCGATCTTGGTCAGCGTCAAGTCGTGGATCACCCTCGCGAATCGGCGACGGCCGACACGGACCATGACCAGGATCGGCATCGGCAAGACCCGCGACATCCTTCGTTGGCGCGCACGGCGGGTAAGTGAGAAGGAGCAGGCTTTCTCAGAAGGCGGCGGGGCTTCTCGGAAGCCCCCTGGCCTTCTGAGACATGTCCTGTGTCTTCGGGGAATACCTAGAAACCTTCTTAGAAGGCCGCAGGCTTCCGGCCCTTCTGGGAAAGCCCGCCCCCTCTAACGTCCCCCCTGGGCGCGCCGCCGAATCTTCGTCATGGTTCATGGGTTTCTGCCCTCCCCCACCCCGTCACTGCCCGTTGGCGGCGCGAACAAACGGATCGGGGGGGAAGGCGTCTTAGAGAGAGGCTGCCTCTCAGAAGGGGCCGGCCGTACAAACAAGACCCGCGCTTTCCAAGAAACAATTGTGCTTATGACAAGCCTTCCCCCCTCCCGCTACTATGTTCAATAGGGACGTAATCCGATTAAAAATACCTCGGACAACCCCTCGGATAACCTGGACAACCTCTGCTGATTAATGACGACAAGACGACCTATCTCGGACAACCCCTTGGACAACGCAGCGGGGATCCGGAAAACCCCTCCGGACAATCCCCCGTGGACATGCCCCCCTCGGAAGAGGCCTTCCAGATGGGGTCCGAGTAGATGGAGTCGGTGGATCGCGCCGCATCGCCAGTGCATCGCCGATGCATCAGCGATGCATCGGCGGTTTCGGCGATGCATCGGCGACGTCGGGTTCCACATCGAGCCGCATCGCCGACGCATCGGCGATGCGGCGCGATTCTGCGACGCCATCTACTCTGACCCCACTCCAGAAGCCTGGAAGAGTGCCCCCCTCTGCGCGTGGCTGACCTGACGCTGCCCCTGAGCGCGCCCGTCCTCCGACAGCGGGTCCAGCCAGTTGCTCACCGCCCCGGGCCGGCCGCCCCCGCGCTGAGCGCGGGCTGGCGGCCCCTGCAGGCTGCGGCCGCCGTTGTGGCCGCCGCCGCCGCCGTCGGTGCCGTCGTCGTTGTCGACGACGGCGTCGTCAACGTCGACGGCGACGTAGACGTCGACGTGGACGTCGTCGTCGATGTCGTCATCGACGTCGTTGTCGTCGTCGTCGACGGCGTCGTCGTCGTCGACGGCGTCGTCGTGGCCGTCGTCGCCGTCGTGGCGGTCGTCCCAGGCTAGAGGTCTCCAAGACGGGGTCCGAGCAGATGGGGTCGGAGGATCGCGTCGCATCGCCGATGGATCGGCGATACATAGCGAATGCATCGGCAATGCATCGGCCACGTCGGCGATGCATCGGCGACGGCGGTGTGGAGAAAGTCGGGCTCCACATCGAGCCGCATCGGCGACTCGAAACGATCCCCTGGCCCCATCTACTCCGACCCCATCTGGGAGGCCTAACCCGTAAAGGTCTTTAGAACACCCCCAATAGTGGAAACCAATTACCGTTTCGACGCCCTTATTGACGGACTGGGGTCCCACCAGTAGTGGAAACTAATATTTATCTGCGGCAGCCGTCGCGCAACACTGACGACGACGAGGACGACGACGACGACTGCGATGACAACCACAACTGAAGACCCTCAGGGGTTAGACAGGCCCTCTCGCATCGTGAACATCATCACGACGGGAGAGGTCTTATGGCAAGCCGCGGCCTCCGGGGGCCCTCTCGCTGGTCCCCGGACGGTCCCCCAACCCCCCCCCCGAACGAAAAAACAGCTCGAGACCAAACGCTGGTCCCTGGGAAAGGGGCCGTCGGGGCTCTGCGGTCGTCGTCGTCAGCGAGGGAGAGGGGGAAAGGAGCGGGGAGGGAAGAGGTGTCGGGGAGGGATGAGCAGAAGTCGGGCAGGGAAGGAAGAAGCGGGCCTGGAGGAGGGGGAGGATGAGCAGGAGGAAAAGGAGGAAGAGAAGGAGGACGGCGAGGAAGAGGGCGAGACATAGCATGGATGGTGCGGAAGAAAAACAAAGTATGATATCGCATGATCAAACATATGATAAACACATAACAATCAAGAGAACGTATGGACGATGGGGACGAGGAGGAGGGAGGAAACAGGAGGAGGAGAGACGAGAAGCCGCAAAGGAAACAGACGAGGAGTGGGGGAGGAACGAGGAGGCCGAGGAGGAGGAACGAAGAGGCACGCGGGCGGCGAGAATCGAAAAGGACAAGGTGGCGGGGGAAGACGACAACGACGCCGACTACCACCCCAGAGATCCGATATCTTGATTTGTCCTATACGCGGTCCTCGCAAGTCTCGACCAGCTCCCGCGGACCAGCTTTCCATACTGAGTCGCTGTTTGACCGCCACGAAGTCAGCGCATCTGGAGGCCGCAAACTGTGAACAACTCGCCTTGATGTTTTCTTCAATCTGCTTCATCTCTGGGGTAACAAGCCTCCTACATGGGATCCGAATAGATCGGGTCGGGGACTTGCACCGAATCGCCGATGCATCGGCGACGCCGGAGCGGATGCATCGATCCGCATCGCCGATGCATCAGCGAAGCGGCGCGATCGCCCGACCCCATCTGCACTCGGACCGGCCTGGACAGGACAAGCGAATGCACGCAAGACCCTTCCGAGGGCCACCTTGCCGTAGGAATAGAGGAGGCATGGGTTGCGACACGCAAGACACAAGGGCACCCTTGATTTGGCACGGCCGACCTACCGATCAGGACCGACCCCATTCTGACCCCATCTGGGAGGCCCCGAAAGACGGCGGAACACTTTTCGACGGCCCCGCGCGGCCAAGTCGGACAACCGACCGAACAACAACCGGCGGCCTCGGGCGCGGCGCCCCCGCCGACCGGCGCGGTCATATCCGCGGGCCCGTTGGGGCGCGGGGCCTTCGCGGCCCCGCGAGCGGCGGGCGGGAGGGGCGGAGACGGGGAGGAGGAAAATGGGTGAAGGAGGAGGAAGACCAGAAATGAGGATGCAAATGGGAAGATGGGAAAGGTCAGGTCTTTCTGAAGGCGGAGTGTGGTTTGAGTGGGATACCTGAAAACACATATAAGGCGGGCACGGAGGCTTGGCCAGCTTCCGTGCCCCCGAACAAACAAAAAACACTGGAAAGGGGGAGACCACTGTAATGGAATAAATTGTATATACACCGACGCTGCTTGTGCGCCCTGCGCTGAAACTTGCACGGGGAGGCGGACCTGGTGCACACGGGATTCTGGTGTACACATGTTTCATTGTTTCCCCAGGGAAACGGGGAAACAAGTAGGCACCGCATCATCCCGACGTCGTCTCCGATCATCAAGAAAACACGCACTGGAAAAACAACACGCCACTGGTACTGCGTATGATCCAATTCGCGACGCTATAACAGGCACAGGTGAGAAGGGACAGGTGAGCTACCCTTCGGGTCATGTGCTCACGCCCGTCCGTCCTGCATACGGTTGGACTGCGCAGCGGAAGGTTCTACGAACCGCCCCATTCATAAAACAAATTTTCTGGCTGCGAGGGGCGCATTAACCTGGTTCCGTCATGTCTCGGGTTTGTCAGGCTCCCCAGCATTCAAAAATCACTTTGGCCCCCGACGGCACCAACCGCAAAAAAAAACGCTTCGCGGTGCAAGTGGCAAAGATAAATTACTCCTGAGGGAGCTCATAAGACGAATCAGAACAGGCGACCTTCTCCCCCCGACGATACGACAAATTGAAGGAGAACACCTGCTAAAAAACCGCGAGCTGCACGGACACAGTTCGCACGAGCCCGCTCACTTGAATGCTCGACTCGTTAATATCGCACGATGGCCTCGTATATCCGCTTTCCTACTCCGTGCGACCTCTTGACGCCGTCAGGGGGTCGTCCCCGTGCTACGGCGTGAATGAGCTGCGTTGTGAGCTCGGGGCGGCCTTTTTCATCTTCCCGTCGCTGAACTTGACCGTGGCGTGGTCATACCTGACTTTGCCGTCCATCGTGCCGAAAATTAAATCTCCACTGCTACCCTCGGTCATGGTGTCGGCCCGCATGTCCCGAGTGTCGCCCCAGTGCAGGTCGTGGATATGTTTGGTGCAAAGTTAGCCGGCTAACCGCCACAAGTGGCCAGCCATGCTGTTGTCGGACGGCGGCCTGACCGGGCCCATGAGCAGGGCGCTGAAGACGGACATGCCGGCGATGACGAAGTACGCAGGGACCGTGCGCCCCTTTCTTTTTCAGCCTACTGATCACCTCGGTTGAGGCGGGGCCGTGCACCATCTGTGCAGCGCGGGGAGGTGCGCCTACAGGCCGTCGGTTGCGCCACATGCCGCGAGCAGCTCAAAGCCGAATGATCGGCTCACTGGGTCCAGCAGGTGGCACGCCTGTTTGCTGGTGCGACGGCACTTGCCGAGACGCGTGTATACGGCGCATGCTGCATGCTGACTCCTCCTCCATCTTCGAGGGCCCGTCGGTGTGTACGCTGAATCGCCCGGCGTACTCCATTGATGGACATGTGATGCGTGTTTTGGTCTTATGCGCCGCTAAAACAACGGAGTTGAGCTGCGTCGCGCGTCGGATGAACAGCCTGTTCTTGGCTTTCAGCAGGGCGACCAATGTACACTGCGACGCGGTGTTGGGCGAGCAGGACGTAAGCCGCTGCTCCCAGCAGGGAGACAAGGAGGTCGGGAACCTGACCACCGGCCGACTCATCACCCTTGGCCTCGACCTAGTCGCCTTGTCTGATCAGAATCAGAGCGTCGATGTACTCGTGCTGGTCAAACGTCGCGGTGCTCTCGGTACTGCGGCGCTGCTGCACTCCGCAGTTGGTGAAGTCGTTGGAGTCACCCTTCGTCTTGCCGAAGACGCTCTCGATGTGGTTGGTTAGCCGCGCGACGTGCTCCGTTTGCCCAGCAATCTCCAGATCGTCACGCTTGGACAGTGTGAGCGCTGGCTCCGAGACGCTGGCAACACAGCTGCCTGACGTCACGCGCTTGACCACTAGCTCTGGGCGCCACCTGGTAGGTTTGGCGCTGCACGCAGGTGAGCGCGTGACCCAGGCGAGCTTCATAGAGAAGGCGATGGGCGCATCCTTGCAGCCCACACCCGGCTCCCAAGAGGTCTTTTCATCCTTATCATGATGTGTTGTCCCTCACTCTCCTCATCCTCTTCCTCCCCCCAATGTTGCCCGAAGGGTTTCCACGACGGCTGGGGGGACGCATGGTCCAATAGCGTGACAAGCTTTGCCCAAACGTTAGGCCACATAGGCGCATCAAAAGAGGCAGGGGGCGGCGGTGATTCGCCGCAGGCATCTTCGATAATAACAGTGATGATCCGAGAAAGAATCCAAACTGCCAGGAAAGGGGGGGAGCGAGGACGGCCCCGCGGAGGCGGCCGCGGCGGCGCCAAAAATGGGCGCAGCCAATTCGACGTGCTGCTCATACACCGAAAAGCCACCTGAAGCCCCCCGCGCTCCTTGCCCGCAAGGGGTGGCGAGGCCGTCGCCCCCGCGGCTGGCCCGGGGCCGGCCGATCGGCGCTTTCCCCAGTGCGTTGCCCCGCGAGTGCGGCTAAGATCCGGAATTCCTCTTGATCCTCCCCTTCCTCGTTTTCATCCTTCTCCTCCTCTTCCTCCTCCTTCTCCTCCCCCTCCCCCTCCTCCTCCTCCTCCTCCTCCTCCTCCTCCTCCTCCTCCTCCTCCCTCCTCCTCCTCCCCTCCTCCCTCCCCCTCCTCCTCCCTCCTCCCTCCTCCTCCTCCCTCCTCCTCCTCCTCCTCCTACTCCTCCCCCTCCTACTACGACTATGACGACTGCAACTACGTCTGCGACTACAACTACTAGTGCTATGACTACGACTACTACGACTACTACGGCTACTACGACTACTACTACGACTACGACTACGACTACGACTACCACTACCACTACTACTACTACTACTACTACTACTACTACTACTACTACTACTACTACTACTACTACTACTGCTACTACTACTACTACTACTACTACTACGACTGCTACTGCTACTGCTACTGCTACTGC